CTTGACTTCCAGCATCTGCAGTTCTTGGGTTTTTTTATTCTGGTCAATTGTAACCTCCCCAGGATGTTGATAGTGGGGGATTTAGTGATGGCAATGCCATTGAATGTCATGGGGTGATGGTTAGATTCGTCTTTTATTGTAGAAGGTCATTACCTGGCATTTGTGTGGGAAGGCAGTGGCCTAGTGGTATTACCACTGGACTGTGTTAATCCAGAGACCCAGGTAATGTTCTGGAGACCAAGGTTTAAATCTCGCTATGGCAGATGGTGGAATTGGAATTCAATAAATATCTGGAATTAAGAATCTATTGATGATAGTGAATCCATTGTCAATTGTTGATGGGGAAAACCCATCTGGTTCACTAACGTCCTGGTCTGGCCTACATGTGATTCCAAACCCACGGCACTGTTGTTGACTCTTAACTGCCTTCTGGGCAATTAGGGATGGACAATAAATGCTGGCCTAGCCAGCAACACTCTCATCATGTGAATGAATTTTTTAAAAATGTTACTTGCAACTTGTCAGCTCAAATCTGGATTTTGTCCAGACCTTGCTGCCTTTGGACATGGACTGCTTCAGCATCTGAGGAGTCACAAATGATGCTGGACATTATGCAAACTTCAGCAAACATCCCACTTCTGACCTTTTATGATTTGTCCTGCTTTTTGTGTACAGGACATACCTGGGCAATTTTCCACATTGTCGGGTAGATGCCAGTGTTGTTGTTGTACTGGGCAGCAAGTTCTGGAACAAGTCTTCAGTATTATTGCCAGAATGTTATTAAGGTCTATAGCCTTTGCAGTATGCAGTGCATCCAGCCATTTCTTGTTATCACCTTAGTGATTCGAATTGGCTGAAGACTGGTATCTGTGATGCTGGGGACTACTGGAGCAGACTGAGATGGATCATTCACTCAGCATTGCTGGCTGAAGAACGTTCATAGAATCATACAGTACAGTAGCAGTCCTTTGGCCCATTGTGCCTGTACCATCAAAACTATATTAAATCTACACTAGCAAACCACCTTTCAGGGAGAATGTTACTGTTCATCTCCGATGTATTGTATATTTGAAACAGGACCTGTACTTTTTGACATCTGGCAGAGAGGCCATGGGTCTCTGTGTAATCTTTTATCTGAAAGATGCCCACATCCTGATGGTACCTGCTCTGCAGCAGGAGGCTGTGTGTGAATTTTGTGCTCCGGCCTTGTGTAGCATGTGAACCACGACCCCCTGACACAAGTGGCCAAAGAGTCTATGTTCTCCAACACTACTTGACACTTCCTGGAGCTCAGAATGTGGCCATTTCAGCTCCTGCTCACTGACTGGGCATTTTTGTCTGTTATTAAACAGCCTTGGCTTCACACAGCTTTGAAAATAGCTTCAATATTCCTTCGCAAGTAGTAGTGAGGAGTGATGTCTGCCTACCCCTTGATAGGAGGAGGAGCCCTGTGAAAATTGCAAACCATACTTGGGTATTCCTTGAAACAGCTGTTAACATTGGATACATCCTTCGAATCATTGAGGCACAGAAAAGGGCAAGTTTACTGTCTCTAACCCCATGATGTTCCTGTCCTGGGAGTGTTTGATGGGGATAGCGTGAACCATATTGTTCAGTCTGTTGTTTTGGAATGCTGACTGATCTGTCTGCATTCTCTTGCTTCAGTGAGACGGGGAAGGTTCTGCTTTCCCTTTCATCGAAACGGGATCTCGGCTCATTGCTGTGGGAGAATTTGGCAGTTTGTTGTCTGGGGCTGGCAGTGGTTTCTGTGCCTGAGGTATTGTGTTGTTTGGAGTGGGGTATCAAAGGTCAGGACTGTGCAGAAGGGCATTTTTGAATTTGGGATTATGGTTTGATTCTTTTGATTTGAAGGGTTTTCTGGCTGCTCAATCTGATTTGGTTGTGAAATTTCTCTATTTTATTGTTACCTACGTTTGAGGACTTTCAATCACAAGTTGTGATTTCCCCCAGACTGTAAAATCCACTCCTGAAACACTCCTGGTTATCCTGCAGGTTATTGTGACATAATGGTTGAGGATGAGGAAGAGGAGGGAGAGGCTTTGTGAGGGATTGAGGAGAGAGGAGGGCTGTTGGGGCAAGCGTGAGGCCTGCCAACAAATGCCAGTGCAACTGAAAACGTATGAATGAGAATTCTGAAACCGAGATTATTCCTGCCCACTCAGAACATTTTATTTTCTCTCTGTCTCTTTCCTGTTCCACCCTCCTCAGGGCCCCACAAAGCTTTCTGATCCAGCTGTAGAAGGGGTGAGCTGGAGTCTGTCTTTCCACACTTTTATAGAAGCATGGTGTCATACAGCACAGAAGAGGCCCTTCAGCCCATCAATTCTGTGCTGACCTCTCTACACCAGTCCCATTTCGTGCACTTGGCCCATTGCTTTGAATGTTATGATATTTCAAGTGCTCATCCAAGTACTTTTTAAAGGTTGTGAGGTTTCCTTCAACTACTCTCCCAGGCAGTGCATACCAGAGGTTGTCCTCAAATTCTCTCTCAACCTCCTGCCTTTCATCTTCATGTTCTGCTCCCACATTATTAGAACATACAACTGTACAGCACCGTAGAGGCCCTTTGGCCCACGATGTTGTACTGAACTTTTACCCTAATCCTAAGGTCTATCTAACCTCCACCCCTACCTTATACTATCGTCCATGTGCCTATCCAATAGCTGCTTAAATGCCCCCAATGAGGCCGACTCCACTACCCTCTCTGGCAATGCATTCCATGCCCCTACCACTCTCTGAGTAAAGAACCTATCTCTGACGTCTCCCCTATATCTACTTCCACTCACTTAAAACTATGCCCCCTCGTAATAGCTACCTCCACTCTAGGAAAAAGTCTCTGGCTGTCCACTCTATCTATACCTCTGATCATTTTGTACACCTCTGTCAAGTCACCTCACATCCTTTGTCTTTCTAAAGAGAAAAGCCCTAGCACTCTCAACCTTTCCTCGTAAGACCTTCCCTCCATTCCAGGCAACATCCTGGTAAATCTCCTCTGCACCTTTTCCAATGCTTCCACATCTTTTCTGTAATGAGACGACCAGAACTGGACACAATACTCCAGATGTGGCCGAACCAGGCTTTTGTATTGCTGGAGCATAACTTCACAGCTCTTGAACTCAATCCCTCTATTAATAAAAGCTAACACACCATACGCCTTCTTAAAACTCTATCCACCTGGGTGGCAGCTTTCAGGGAACTGTGGACATGATACCCAAGATCCCTCTGCTCCTCTACACTACCAAGAATCTTTCTGTTAACCCTGTGCTCTGCTTTTGAGCTTGTCCTTCCAAAATGAATCATCTCACACTTTTTTCAGGGTTAAACTCCATCTGCCACTTCTCAGCCCAGCTCTGCATTCTATCAATATCCCTTTGTAACCTAGAACAGCCCTCCGCACTATCCACAACGTGACCCACCTTCGTATCGTCCGCGAACTTGCTAATCCACCCTTCCACTCCTTCATCCAAATCTTTTGCAAAAATCACAAATAGAAGGATTATTGATCCTTCAATTAAGGGAAATAGCTGCTCCCTGTCCATCCTGTCCATGTCTCTCCGTAATCTTATACATCTCCCCTCAGCCTCCTGACAAGGCTAAGAAGTCTGAGTTTATCTAGTCTCCTCAGCACTGAAATGCTCCATCCCAGGCAACTCCCTAGTGAATCTCCGTTGCACCCCCGCCACTGCAATCGCATCCTTTCTATGGTGTGGCAACTAGAACAAAACAGTGCTCCAGCTGTAGCCTTATTGAAACTTTGCACACGTTTCTGTTTGTTTAGAGTTCCCACTAAAGGCATACACCTGTGAATTCCATATCCTAGTTTCAGTTTGTTTCAATAATAAGGGCTGAAGTAAATGCCTGAGGTGTTGTTCATCATCTCCATGCAGTCAGAAAATGTGATTAACATGCTTTTTAACACACAAAGCCACCTCTTATCTCACCTTCAATCACATCCTGCCATACCTTGCGCGCTCATTCCACCCATACTGTTTTAACAATCAGTTACAGGGCTTTCATCAAACAGAAATGGAATACAAATATCGTGTTAGGGAAGCTAGTGCCTTTGACAATTTCCTGGTTCTCCGCTCAAGCCCTCTGTGTACTTGGCTGCAGTGACCTCACTGTTGCAATGTTTCATCACGGGGACTCTGTCGAATTCTGTGGCCATGGAAATGTTGACACGCAGCATGCTGCCTGCTCCTGCCTGAAATCCACCAGCAACGAGCAAGCTCAGTCCAGTTGAGGGCTAAGGGGTGAGGTGGTGATGTTGCAGGGGCTCATTGGTTACAGACAGACTCAACTTCATAGCATACAACAAGATTTGCATTTACATAGCCCCCTTTTTAAAAAAAAAATTCCCAGGGCTTTTAACAGTAGGGTTATTGAATCAACTTTGAAACTGAGCTAATGGGATGATGATAATGCACCAGAACTTCAGCCAATAGCATTTGTTTTAAAGACTAACTTAAAGGGGATGAGAGATAACATTGGAGTTCAGAGCTCAGGACCAAAGCAACTGGACTGTTTACAATGGGGTGACAATAATGTAGACTTCAATAAGCACTCAGATCCCGGAGGATTGTAGGGCCAGAAGAGATTTGAAAAATGGGGGTGGTGAGGACGTAGAGGAGTTTGAAAACAAAAGTTGAATATTTTAAAATCAAGCTGTTCCTCTGCCAGAAATCAATGTGAGGTCTGTCGCCGTACAACACTGGGGTGCGGTGCTGGTGGGGACGGGT